TGAGGACACAGCTGGCACACAGTGAAGCTGGGACTTGGACCCAGGCCAGACAACTCCTGTACAGAGTCATCACCCCATACTATACCATAGAGTATATAAAAATGTTTCTAAATTATTTCAAGTGATTACAAATACAGTAATAACCTTGGTTCACAAATGCTTCTGTTTGCAAGCAATTTGGTTCTCAGATGCATTCAACAAAATTTTACTTCTGTTCACAAACTCCACATTGGGTGACAAACACAACTGCAGCCACCTTCCCCACACAAACACGAATGTGGACATCTTCCCCAAAATTGTAAAACAAATTAAGTTCATGAACTGAGGTACCACTGTACTGTGCATAAGTTTCATTAATAACAGCAACAATAATGATAATGCTAAACTTTTCAAGTGAGGACTACTTTTTATGGAATTTCCTTTTTTAAAAAATTAATTTTATTGGTACATTGTAGATATACATATTGATAACATTCATCATATGGAATTTGTACCTGTACATGACATATCTTGATTCTTCTTTTTTTCCCAATTCCCTCCTCTCCCTTCAGCCCCTCTTCCTTTCCTTATTTACAAAAATTTTGTTTCCATTTTTCCTTATATTCTCTTTTTTACCTTTTCCTTTCCTTCCTTTCCCCCTCTCCCCTCTCTAGTTCCCTTTCCCATTTGAACATTTTCTTCCTATTTCACAGTATCTATTATACATTTTGGGCCTTATTTACACTTTCATTTTCTCACACCAGAGAAACCATGTGATAATTGAACATGTGTGTCCAATTTATTTCACTTAAGAGTATGGTTAAGGTGCATCCATTTACCTAAAAATGTCTCCATTTTATCCTTCTTTTTGGCAGAGTAGTACTCCATTGCATAAAAGAACCACATCTTCTTTATCCATTCATCAGTTGATGGGCATTTGGCCTGTTTCCCTATTTTTTGTTTTTTGTTTTTGGTACTGGGGATCAAGCTCAGGTCCTTGCGCTTGCGCAGCAGGTGGCGAAACCACTGAGCTAAATCCTTGGCCCTGTTTCCCTATTTTTTAAAAAATTAATATTGTTGATCTTTTGGATCCATGTGGAGCTGCATGAACTTTACCTAGCTCCTTTGGCCACCCAGCATTGTAACTGACAGAATTTCATGGAATGCTGGCTAGCAACCTCTGGAGGATGGCAGTTCTCACCAACAAAAGTGGGCACTTCTAAGTGTAGCAAAATGCTTCTTTCTACTGCCAACCTCACTCCCACTTTGAGTTCACTTTGGGCCTTAGTGAGGAGAGTAGAATTATGTAACCAAATACAAATATGAGGACTTCCATATTTTAAATATATAAAGATAAAGAAGGCCTACTGGATGCAGCAGTTGCTGTCTGTGTCCTTTTTGTGTGCCATGCTCTGTTCTGGGCACCTCTTTGTGGCTCCTCCCGACAGCCTTCCCTGGTGAGGGGACCAGTCATTAGAACTATTCTACTCATGAGGGGACTGATGCTTATGTCATTAAGGTTCTTTGTCCAAGAGCACACAGTTGGTGTGTGGCCAAGCCTTCCCTCTCCACCACCCTCTGGTCTTCTCCCCTCTCTCACTCCATTTTGGCCACCTTGCTGTTCCTGGTTCCTTTCTGGAGCATATGTCTGCTCTTCCCTCTGACAACACTGTGCTGTCATTCAGGCCTGCACTCCAATGTCACCTTTCCTGACTCGCCCCATACCCTGCCCCAGCGTGAAGGAGCAGCTCACCAGCTTGCTCTGTCCTGCCTGTGTTTTTTCTCTTAGTAGCACATTATATTCAACATGTACTCTTTCAGCATCTGGCTATCCCACAAGAAATGTGAGCTCTACAAAAGGGGATGCTTGGCTTATTTTGTTTACTGCTATATCCTTCAAGAACCAATCCTAGTATACAGGAGACACTCAGGAAAAGTACATCAGGTGGGTGAGTGAGCCAGTGAGTGAGTGAATGAATTAATTAAATGGAGACTCTGAAACCCAGCCCTGTCTGACTTTGAAGCCAATCCCCTATACCCCAACACCCAACTGCCTTTTCCTGTGTCCGCCATCTCTGCTGAGCTGGGCTCAGTGAGAGGTACTCTCCAGAGAGACTCTGGTCAGGGTGTCAGAAGGACCTGAGATGTTCTGAACAGTTCACCTTTTGTCTCTGAGCCTCATTTTCCACATATATGAAATGAGACTGATGAGTCAGGCAATTCCTAGGGTCCCTGGAGCTTTACTTTCTCAGAATTTGGCTCTGCTGCTGCCTGAGCATAGTCACCGGGCACAGAATTTCCCAGTCATGATCTCAGCCCAGTGCCTCAGCTTGCAGGATCGGGCCAGCACTTTGCATCTTGTGGACCTGCTGGCATGGGGTCCCGAGGCCCACCCTGCAATGCAGGATGCATCTGTGATGTGGGGAGAAGGCAGAAGCTTGTGCAGCATTGAGCATGGCCCTGTGGTTGCCGGGACACTGCTATAGGTGGTATTCTCTGGCTCTCCCAGAATGTGCTAGTTTTGTCCTTGAGTCCTCCTAATCTACAGTAGTGCTCTTTTTTTTCCTCAGCCCTTTCTCCTGTGGGTGACTAGAGCTGCCACTCACCAGGCTATTTATGGAGAAACATGTGCTCCAGTTGGTCGGCATCAGGACAAATTCCGGGGCTGGAAGTGTAGCTCAATGGTAGCATGCAGGAGGCACTGAGTTCAATCCCTAGCAACAGACACACAGACACACAGACACACACACACACATACAGAATTTCTACAGAATGGCAGGAATTCCCCTTGTTGCTCTCCAGTTGTGGCTTTATGATCTAAGTCAGTTCTAATGCACTGCAGATTGTGCAGATCTAATCTTGTTTTAGGCAGAATAGTTGGAAAGAGCCTCTGAGCCAAGACACCTCAGCAGTTGCGGTCTCCAAAGGGACCTAAGATTTCTCCTTGGCTCCAGCCTTTGTAAAAGCTCTCCTTGAGAGCTGTGGGGAGGATGGGGTGCCCAGGCAAGCAGTTGTTGTATATGGCTTAGGTTTACTCCATTTGAGTGCCCTGAGTCAGTGACCTGCTAGGTGTATATGGGGAGGGAGCTTTCATCCTGATAACCCAGGCATAACTCGGGGTAGCCTGCACTTGTATAGCATGAGCAACATGGCAGTAGCAGAGGGAAGCTGAGTGGTCTGTAGACAGCCATGTGCCACCTTGGGGCACCCTGCAGGAGAGTGGGAATCAGGTGACATTCTGTAAAGTGGCTTCGCAACATGCAGCTTCAAAGCACCTTCTCATTAAGGAGGGATTAGAGCCTTGTAGGGAATTCTGAGATCTTTTAGGCAGGTGGACTCTGTCCAAGTTTTTCCAAAGCCCAAGACCCAACTCTTCCTAGGGTGGGAGGAGACGGCTGCAAAAGGCTTACTGCTGCCCTTGGATAAAGAGGGCAAGGAAATGTCACCTGCTAATATGGTCCATGGCCTGGCCAGGGAAGGGAGTCCCACAGGACAGCATGGACAGTTATTCCCACTTGCTAGGCCTCATAGCTTCATCACATGTGTAATAGGACCTGGGTGACCAGGTCCCCTAGAAGGCCATGTCTTTGTTGAGTCAGCAAGGAGGCCTGTCTGGGTCATGGCCAGCAGAAAGGGCAGTCCCGTTCCACCTTGCCTGTGCCGTTTGGGTGCCACAGACATATGAAGAGGAGAATACATAGTGAATCCAGCTTTCAGAGACAGCTCGTTACCTTAATAAAGTAATTACAGAGCTGGGTCATTTACATCCCTAGAAAGATGCAGGGCAACTGCGGGCCAGGGTGTGTGCGTGTGTTTAATTTTAAATCCTCCAACCTCCCCTTAATGAGGAAGTACTTTGAAATATAATGGCATATAAGTCTTCTTCAAAGAATTCGTTTTCTTGGTGCCTTATTTCTTTATGGGAAAGCATGAAAGACAAATGAGGACTGGCAGTAGCAGGAAAGGGCTTTGCCTCCCTGCCCATGTTGTAGAGACATTATCTGCTGTAAAACTGTCACTGAAGGATGGAAAACCATCCTTGGCTGCAGTGGCCCTCAGATAATGTCAGTGCTGAGCAATGACCCGGGATTTTTGGCACGGAGCAAGCACTTCTAGGCTCTGGTGCCAGCAGCCTTAGCTGAGCCTGCTCAGCAGCTCCTGGCAGGGAAATAAAGGGACCGCAATAGCTGGTTCCAGGAGCCCAACGGGCTCTGAGCCTTTTTCTTTGTGGGATGGGGGTGAGGGTTAGACGAGTAGGGGTGGGGTGCAAATACTAATGACCAACTGGACCACGTATAAATCCTGTAAAAATGCCAAAAATGATTCAGCAGGCCTAAGTTAGGCCTGAGGTTATGAATTTCTATCAAGTTCCCGGTGATATTACTGACCCTTGAGAGCATTTGAATAGAAAGACTCTTTAGAAGAATCCTGCCAGTTGGTTTTGGCTGAATGGAACACAGATGGGGAAGGGGGCCCTTAGCCACAACCATGGCTACTCTGGAAGGGGAAAGCTGTGGGGAATCTCCAAAGGGTTGGAATATTCTAGTTTCTGCAGTATGGAAGACAGCAATGTCATGGTGGGTTTGTTGTATGGTTTTGCCCCTATTAGGTTTATCTTTCTTTTTTTTCCCTGGTACTGGGGATCGAACTCAGGATCTTGCGCTTGCTAGGCAGGTGTGGCACCACCGAGCTACATCCCCGGCCCCAAGGTTTACCTTTCTGATGATTCCCAGGTAGGAGCTCTGGGAAACCTGAGTGTGTAAACTCTGAGCTCCTCTGCAGGCACCCTGATCAGGAAGCAAGAGGGCTGAACAGTTGGGGCCCCTGACAGCCTCAGAGTGTACGCCAGGGAGTTGATTTGGGTTATGTTTACTCTGGGCTCCCCAGGTCCCTGGTGTGCTCAGCTCATGCTCTCCTTCCCACTTAGTTCACAGGTCCCTGGATGAGAAAAACCTGACAGCAGCTTAGTCTCATCTTCTCCGTGTGCTGGGGAGCAGGGCTACACAGCCCCAGTGGCACCCATGCCGAAGAACAGCAAAGTGACCCAGCGTGAGCACAGCAACGAGCATGTCACTGAGTCGGTGGCTGATCTGCTGGCCCTCGAGGAGCCTGTGGACTATAAGCAAAGTGTACTGAATGTAGCTGGTGAGTCAGGTGGCAAGCAGAAGGCAGCGGAGGAGGAGCTGGATGCAGAGGACCGGCCAGCCTGGAATAGCAAACTGCAGTACATCCTGGCCCAGATTGGCTTCTCTGTGGGCCTTGGCAACATCTGGAGATTCCCTTACCTGTGCCAGAAAAATGGAGGGGGTAAGAGGTAGCCCTGATTGCAACTGGGTGTCCTGAAAATGGGCTGGGTTTAGGGGTGAAAAGGAGCACCCCTTTGGCTGAGGCAGCTTATGTAAGTGGGAGCTTAAGATCCCAGAATAAGGCCTACAGAATAGCCACAATGGTGGCTAATACCTATCCAGAGGCTGTGGGCCATGAGGAGAACATGAGGCATTTGTGTGGACCCCGAATGCCTAGGTGACTCCCAGCCTGGCCAGTCAGCTTTGGGACCTAGTACAAGTTGCTTAACCTCTCTCTCTGTGCCTCCTCTAACATGGGGATGATAATGGTTTCCTCTCACATGATAAGCAGAAGGATTAAATGAGCTTTACAAAGAACCCAACTCATAGTAAAGAGCAGCTGTGGGCCATTATTATAAAATGCTTACTGGGTGTAAGTGTTGGCCCTGTTCTAAACACTTATTAGGCTCAGAGACCTGAAATGCTGATATTCGAGCATCTTGGAACAACAGAAGCACCAATTTCACATGGTTCAACCACTGAGTCCCCCCAACAACCTTATGCAGAGGGAGCTATCACTATCCTTACTTTAGAGACTCCAAAAGTGAGGTACAAATTGGTTAGGTAACTTGTTCAGGGTCATGTGTGACCAAGATTTCAGCAAGTGACAAAATCAGGGTTAACTTGGACAGCCTGGCTGGAGCCTGAGCGTTTCACACCACACTCACTGTTCCCCGTGGGGACCTCATGCTGTGCATGGGTACAGGTTCCTCTTAAGGATCTCCCTGTGTCAAGTGTCAAACCATCACCACCACTTTGGCTCCCAGGGCAAGGATAAGCCCTCAGGCCTTGACTTTCCGGCACCTAGACATAGCCTAGAAATTTCCAAAGGTGGCATGCTTTGAAACATGGGACAACGTACTGAAGAGAAACAAAGAAACTGCCAGTAGGTTGGAAACAGTGACATTTCCAAGCCCAGACCTCAGCTCCTGAGAAAGCCAACCAACAGGAAGCTTCCAGCTCCTGCATCCCCTGCCCTCAGACCACCACACTCCAGCCAGAGCTTTGTGATCATTTTAACCCAACTCTTCTCCCTGCTTCAGAGATTCTTAGCAGGCAACCTCTCCCAGAGAGAGAACCTGATTCAGGGCCCTTCCCCTCTTCTCCTGGGCACATTCTCTGCCTTGTTGAAAAGGCAAAGTCTGGCTGAGGCTTCTTCTTCCAAGTTTCTATTGCCCACCTGAGCTCTTGAGACCAAGTTATGCCAGATGCTTCCGTCTTTCTGTCTTCACGAAGTATATTTGCCACATGGTCGGTTTGCTTGAAAGATCTTTTTAAAATTTTTCTGTAAGTAACTGCCAATCAGAGCTTTTGGTTCTATATAGCATGGTCATATGTTCATTTAAGACCAGCCCAAAACAAGATATAAACATGGCGGCTGCTTTCCTTATGCTCTGTGGGATGTTAAGAGTCACAGAAACCCCAAATGGTTTGGAGGACATATGGCATTTGGAGACTTAGCTGGGAACCTTTAACTCTGTTTTTTTCTAGCTGAGATGATCAGCGTTCTCTGGACACTTGGTGCTGAATCAGTTTCTCTTACCAGCACACACACACACACACGCACGCACGCACGCACGCACACACACACACACACACACGGCACTGTTCTTGCCTACTCTGTTTGCAGCATCACCAGACAATCACCATGGCACCAGACAGCCAGAAGCAGCCCTGGAAGAAAAGCATGGTCAACTCTCAGGATGCTGCACTCACCGCTTCACATTTCTGCCTTCATTCTTCCACCTTCTGATTCCTGCACTGTCCTTTTGTCTGTACTGTTAACTGTCCTACATTTTACAGGTTTTATAGTAAGTTGCTTTAAATGTTTAGAAGGAGGCAAATTATTACAGGAAGGAGACAACTGTTTGGCTTGAGAGCTGACATGATGGTTTTAAGTCATGCATGATCCAGCTCTGTTTTGCTTAATTCTAGATAGAAACTGGAACTCTGCTTAGCTTTATCAGTTACTGGAAGTTTCTTTAGTCTGCATCCTCTTTTCTTTTTTCCTGTTTATTTTATTAGAAAGAGGCAAATGTTCTTTAAGTGTTTACTATAGGTAACTGATTTCCCCCTTACAACAGCTCTAAGCGATAGGAATAGGATTGAGGTATGTGAAATGGCCTTTCTGTAAGTAAAAACATAGTCAAATATCAGTAATTTCATACAATTCTACCCTAATATTTTTGTCCTCTTCTTTACACAGATGATAAAAAAACAGCACAGAGAAAGCAAGTAATTCGAAGCCATATAGTTACTTACATGGCAGAGCCAGGATTCAAGTCTGGGAGGTTTGGCTTCAGGATCTAGTTCTTAGCTTCTTCTTAACGCACATCTCAACAGTCTAGGGCTAAGGGGTCTTTAAAATCTCATGAATAAACTCATGGTTTTCCAGAAGCAAGGCACAGGGTATAGATTGAGACATAGACTGTTAGAGATCCAGGGAACCACAAAGTCCAAACTCCACTTGCCTGTGGCCACATTCTGCTAAATTTCCTAATTCCCTGACCTGTTCAGACCTCAGGCTCCAGTGGCTACTGGAACATCAAAAGAGATCCAGTTGTGTCCCTAAGTTATATTTTGTAAAAGGGAAGAGGGAGGTCTTGCACTTCCAAGTGATTTTAGCAAACGTTAGTGTACCAAAGTGCCTCTGCTTAACCACAGATTCTGCATACCTAGACTGCACACAGCCCCCTGAGCACTCTGATCAGCTGGACCTCGGCGTGGGCAAGAGACCTGCAGTCAAGTCAGCATCCTTCAGGCTAGCTGAAGTGCACAGGGCCTGAGTGGTAGGAGGCCAGGGTCCAGTCTGCCTCAGGATCACTCTAGGACAGCTCCTACCTGGAGGCTCTCCCCAGTTCTTTGGTGGTGGTGGTGAGATAGAAGAATCCACAGAAGGTGCCAACCTACTTTGCGAACACCCTGACACCTGTCTCACTGCCCATCTTGCCCCCTCCAAGCACCCTGGGACAAAATACAAAACCAGCGAGACTATCTCCCTTTACCTTCCTGCAGCAGAGCAGGTCCACCCAGACCAAAGGCTGAGTTACAGAGAGACCCAGGGGTCTACACCTGTGGTCCTTCAGGCCCTCCCTCCATTGAGAGCCATGATGGGGCTGCTTGTTAATGACACACTGGATGTGTGTGTGATGAGATGGATACTGTTCTATAGGACTCAGAAGCTTTCCTGGAAACTTTCCTGATATTTCCACTGAAGCTCGGCCACTCCCTGGGCATCCATGTGCTCAGTTGGCCCTGGGTAACGAGTCTTTGATGAGTGGGTACACACAAGTTTGATATTGCTCATGTGAATCCAAGAGTCCTGTCTTCCCACGTCTGTGCCTTCTGTTGCTCCAGTACTTCCCACTGCCCGTGCCTGGCATAGAGGGGACCCACACTAGGTATCTGTTGCCAAGTGCCAGGTTTTGTGCCTAGGAGATGCCCAACCCCCAGGTCTGTTGGCAGATTGGGCACATGTATGTCATGTTATAGGGACAGAACAGTGTGGCTGGGGGGTGCTTCTAGAGACTCCTGACTTGTGAGCTTAGTCTGGAAGTACTGGGTGACCATCAGGGCCCTGGTGAGCAGGGCAGGCCTGACCGTGTTTGATACTGGCTGACAATGCTGCTAACAGGACTAGGTTGCTGGCACGGCTCTCAGTGGGGTACACTCGTCTGTGTCTGGATGTGGTTTTAATTCTCTTGCTAAATGCCCTGTCACTTAGAATTGAGATTGTGTCTATAGTAAGGCTTAGGACAGCGAGATTAATTTATCATCTGGAATCTTTAGTGAGATTCATTCTATCCTTTATGATCCTCCTGACTGCACTTTGCTGAATGGCTAATTTCTCTTCTGTTCCTCCCAATTAGCTGTGGATTAATGGCAACGTTGGTTAGACCCCCTCTCCTTGGAGAATTTCCAAATCTGCTTCCCTGGAGCTGCCCAGTCTGCTGCATCAGCATCTGGTTGAGATGTGGACAGGCTAGGCCTGTGAGGGCATGTGAGCAGGGTCCATGCCGTCTGGACCACTTCCCTGTGAATGTAGACAGGTGTCCACAGAGAGTCTCCTGAGGTGACTATGTCTGTCTGCTTGGACATGTGGGTCCCTGAGAGGCAGGGAGGTATTATCTGTCTCTGAACCTAGTCTGGTGAGCAGGAGACATTGATATACATATGGTTCCTCCTTTAGCATTTTTGGGGGTCAAAGAGAAGGAGGGTCTGGGTGGGCCATTATAGGGTAGGTCACAGGCATGAGCCAGGCCGTTCACAGAGGAGTCTCAGGCCTGGGAACAATGTGCAGGTAATCCAAGATGTGGCAGAGACTTCAGGACAACACTGCCACCCCTTACCTCACTCTGTTGTGCTGTAGTCACACTCTGACCCCCTTGCCCTCTCCCTACAGGTGCCTACCTGGTGCCCTACCTGGTGCTGCTGATCATCATTGGCATCCCCCTCTTCTTCCTGGAGCTGGCTGTGGGCCAGAGGATCCGCCGTGGCAGCATCGGTGTGTGGCACTACGTGTGTCCCCGCCTGGGAGGCATTGGCTTTTCCAGCTGCATTGTGAGTCCAGGGTTGGGGGCAGACCCTAAGTGGAAAACAGAGGGACTACTGGAGAGGTGGTCACCAGGTTTACAGGCTAGAGTCCTGGACCAAAACAAAAATGGCGAGGGAACCAGGATAGGCTGGTATACAGCTGCTGTTCCAGGGCCACAGTCACTATATTTCCTAAACTGAGAGGACCACACTGCCTGAAACAACATGTGCTATTTGCAGTTGGTGCAAAAGTAGAAAAGTTGGGGCATGTGCACAAAGTAGCCCTGGAACATCTCAGCCAGGGTCCTCTGGGGATATGTGGACCCTCCTGGATACTCACCTCTACTTACCAGCCCATCAGCTCCCCACAAGAGTGGTCCAGAAACTTCACTGCTCCCTGAGACATTCAGGCCCCTGGAAGGGACCCCTCCATATCCAGGTTGGATGCAGCAAATCCCTGCTGATAAAACATTGCTTTCAAAGAAACCCCTAGGGTCCTCCCTCAGAGTCCATGTACTCTTATTTTAAATAAAATTCTTCTAAGCTTAGTGATTGTATTTCTGAGAAATGAAAAGTGATCTTTTTCTAGAGGCAGGCTACTAATCCTACCAAAGAGAGAGTAGCATCCTGAGAGAGAGGAGGACATAGGAAACCAGTAGTCTACAAAAATCTCAAAAATCATAGCTGCCTGAGGCCATTTTCCATACGGGCAAAACCCACTCATGCCTCCATGGTCCTGGAAGCAGCTCCAGTCAGAATCCTGAGCCCTCTGGAAATGACAGGGAAGGGCTCTAACTATCTTAGAAGAATTTCAAACTGGAAGGCATTAACATTTTAAAGGGTTTGTTGCGTACAAGAGAAAACATGAATAACCAAAGGATTCTTTTGTGGGTTTCCTGAGTTCCTTCACTACCACACCTCTGTGTTCTAAGTTGGCCTGTGCTGCTGGGTCTTGGTTGGCGTGTGGGTGGGGGTGGCGTTGCCTGCAGCCTCAGTGACCCTGCCCTGGGACTTGTCTTCAGGTCTGCCTCTTTGTCGGGCTATATTATAATGTGATCATCGGATGGAGCATCTTCTACTTCTTTAAGTCCTTCCAGTACCCACTGCCCTGGAGTGAATGTCCTGTCATCAGGAATGGGACTGTAGCAGGCAAGTGTGGGACTCTGAGGTGCCCTAGTTGGGGACTCCAGCCAGCCCCCTTCCAAGAAGGAGTCTAACAAGCTTAGTGCACAGATTTGGGATTTCACTGACTCCTTGTGTCACCTTGGGCAAGCCACTTAACACTCCTGGCCCTCCTTTCCCCTTCCCCGGCGCAAGTGAGCTCTTTCTGGCCTATCAAACAGGGTTTCACAGGACACTAGATAAAATAATGAGTATAGGTAAAATGGGGAATTGTGGCCCTTGTTTAGTTGTTAAGAACTACTCTGTGTTATTCTAACACCACGTTATCTGGGAATAAACTTAATTTGTATGCCAGTTCTTCAAAGTGCTCGGTGATTATAACCCACTTCACAAATGGGGACACTGGGGCCCTGAAGTCACTTTCCCATGTTCACAACATCCATTTAACCAGTAAACCAGTAAACCAATTCATCCAGGTTTCCAGCTTCTATCTTAGGAACTTCCCCTGAGGACCTGTAGGCCAATTCAGCCTGGCCCTTCCTACCTTCCACAGATAGACATGGGCATGAGGTGATAGGGGTGGGATTAGCCAGGTCACTGTGTCCTGAAGTCCCCCATAAAGGCCCAGAATTGGCCAGACCCTGCTAGATTACGGCTGATCCAGAGTGAGCACAAGCCCTTCTGGAAGCACTCCTTCAGCCACCCCTCTCCCACTGCTGTCAACACTGAGGCCCCGGGGACTGTGCTGTGGTTTCAGTGGTGGAGGCAGAGTGTGAGAAGAGCTCAGCCACTACCTACTTCTGGTACCGAGAAGCCTTGGACATCTCCAACTCCATCTCCGAGAGTGGAGGCCTCAACTGGAAGATGACGCTGTGCCTCCTTGTGGCCTGGAGCATTGTGGGCATGGCTGTTGTCAAGGGCATCCAATCTTCTGGCAAGGTGAGTTGGGGGAAGGCAGCAGAAAGATGCAGAAGGCAGGGGCAGGAATTCCTAGTCACTAGTGTAGGGCCCTTCAGGAGGGCTGGGACTCTGGATGGCTCAGGACAATGGGACTGGCCTCCAGGGGAGGGAGTATTGTTGCAGTGTCCAGCCTTCCAGGTGTGGGCTTGCTGGAAAAACCATTGCCCCGGCTCCATCTGTCTCTGTGCTCAGATAAATCAGGCCTGCTATGCAGACATTAAAGAGAAGAAAAAGGAGAATATTGACCCAGGGCCATCTGTCTATGTTTGGGTCCTTCAGATTCCCAAGAAAACCCCTAAAGTAGGTTGCTCTGAGTGACTTGGGGTGAAAACCTTGAGATTGCTATTGGAGGCTGATCAATCCTCCAATCACCTGACCAAGAGTACAGTGGCAGGATAATAAAAGACAAGACAAGATCTTAATGGATAAATGGGGGGCCCAGGACAGTCAAAGCTCTTATCAGGCTAAGACACTGTCTCCTGGAGCTTGCCACTATTTACTTAACACACAGCTTCTAGGAGGGGTAAGGGGCATGTAAGGGGCATGCAAAGAACAGTGGAGTGGAGAGCACTGACTCAAGCAGGGTCCTAGCAACAGGGGAACAAAACATTCTAGCAAGAACAGCTCATAAATTAATGGGAAATTTGTTTCTTCCCATAGATTAACTTTTGCCTCTATAGGAGTTTTCTGTATGAGTCATCCTTCCCTTAGCTGCACTATTGTCTTGCAATCCAAGATATCACAGCGTCACAAATCATTGAGACCCCTGCTGTGACCAGTGGTGTGGGGAGTTGTTCTTTCTCACACACCAGCTGCTGGCTCTTCAGGCAAGCCATCGTGGCCTAATAGACTCAGACTTTTGATACATGAATTTGTAATTTGCTCAGGGTGGTCTCTATCAGGTTGCCTTGTCTACAACTAAAGGGCCAAGAGCACAGGCGGATGCTCTGAGTGAAGGGGGCCTCAGAGTCCTGTAGGCAGCTCACCAGTGGTCCGATCTCTGAGGTGGTATGCACTAGCCAAGTCCCACACACCTTCCCTCACAGCTCAGGTCCCTTCTAAAGAAAGGCCTTTTCTTATTTGTCACTTTTCAGTATTCATGGACCTCTAGAAATAGGAAAGATCCTGTAGCCCTGTCCACTTATTTTACAGATGAGGAAACTGAGCCAGAGAGGGGAAGGCACCTCACCTAATATCTCAGAGCCGGAATTGAGGCTCCAAGTTCTTTTTTATTTTTGGGTACCGGGGATCAAACTTGGGACCTTGCACTTTCGAGGCAGGTGGCAGAACCACTGAGCTAAATCCCCAGCCCTCCAAGTTCTTCATTGAACTTGACAAGGCAACAAGATAAGCTCTGGAAAGGTGATGTCATCCTAGCCATGGACTTCCCTGTCCAGAGCCCAAAACAACAGCTGACATTTCACGGCACATGTCAGGACTGCCACATATATGAACACACTTGATCCTCAACCTTATGAATTAGGAATTATTGCACCTATTTTAGAAATAGGGAAATAGAAACACACCGAGGTTAAGTAGATAACGAGAAGCCACATAGCTGGTAAGTAGCACAGGCAGAGTCAAATCTTAGTCTGTTAGCTCTGAATAACACACCCTCTTAGTCTCTCTGCCATTCACCACATGGCCCTGAGATTTGTTTCAGAGGAGCAGATGTTTGTAGGCCAGGCTTACAAGATCAAGGCCTCTTTCTGATGGTCTTTGCTTGGGGCTTTGTCTATGTCCTTCTGTCACAGGAGCTCTAAGGACAGGGAAGGTCTTTGAAGGGTCTGTTGGGAAAATTAGGAGAGACAGTACAGGGTTCCCTCACCTCTAGGCAGCCATTAGCCCAGCCCACCAGTCCTTAGAAAGGCAATCAAGGCCCAGCCACTCCCATGCTGGCTCCACCTTGTCCTGTTTCTGCTTCTGCCTGGGCTCAGAGCCAGGTGGGGGGGGGGGTTGGCTCCATGCCTGAGGGCTCTAGGGGTCTGTTTTCCACTGCCTGATATCAGAAGAGGTTCTTATGGCCCGCTGTGAACAAGGAGGGGCATACCAGCTGGAGGAAGGGCTCTGCTTGATGGTGGGTCCCTGTCCTCCCTGCAGGTGATGTATTTCAGCTCCCTCTTTCCCTACGTGGTGCTGGCCTGCTTCCTGGTCCGAGGGCTCCTGCTGCGAGGGGCTATTGATGGCATCCTACATATGTTCACTCCTAAGGTAAGAACTGTGGCTCCCACCTGCTGGAGAACACTGACATGTCCAAAGGGCCTGGTCAGCTCTCTGCAGTTTAACATACACCGAGCACCTGCTGAGTGTCAGATGTCCTGCCAGACCCTAGAGGGGTGCACAAGGAATGAGACCATAAGCTCTGTCTTCAAGGTTCCAAGGAGAGTGATGTCACGTCACGTCAACTTGAGTAGAATCAGAAAAAAATGTCAGGGAAGAATGACATCTGAAATAAGCCTTAGGAAGCAGGTAGGATTTCACTGAGTACCAGTAAGACATTGTAGTCAAAGAAAATCATGTGAGCAAGGGTGTGGAAAAGCTCTGAACATGCATGAAGAAATTGACTGGGACATGAGGTGGGTACAGGGAGCACCATTCATTCATTTACTCATGGGGAGGTTTCATTTTGTGGATCTGTGACAGCAGGAACCAAGATGACACCAAAGAAAGGAGAGCTTCCCCTGAGAATGCCAGTTTGGACCATCATCTGTGGCGCAAGGTTGCTACTTTACCAACTGTAATAGGCCACACAGATAGTGATTTAACTGTATGGAACCTGTTTACTCTTCCTCTCAGTCCCCTCAATAGCCCTTGAGGGAGACGAGCAAGATCTTTGTTCACATTTCACAGTAGGTAAACCAAGGTACAGGAATTCCAAAGGTGTGTGCCCAGCTTTCCTGAAGGTGGTCTGCATCCTGACTTTGCCCCTCAGTGACCACTAGACACAGCCGACATGGTCAGTCCACTGGGAAATAAACAAATGTCAAGTGCAAGTCAACATGCCCTTTAATTTCCTCCAAGCAATGTATTTTAATAACCCCAGCTGGTGGGCTCAAAAGGCCACCTCCAAATGCTAACTGGTCAGAAACAGCCATCAGGGACCTGCTGAGACCCCAGCCCATGGGTTCAGGGTCAGAACTTGGCTAACTAGGTGGAGGCCATAGTGGTCAGTAGTTCCACCTAGCATATGTACACACTCACAGACACACACACGCACACCTCTTTACACAGACTGCTCACACCAGATAACAAAAGAGGAGCATAGACCTAACAGGGCCTGAAATTCCAGTTCCTCCTGACTCCCCTGCTTGGCTGCTATGAGCAGGAACCTGATGTTTGGATGGTGGCCATGGCCATGGTACATGCTACCCACACAGTGCACAGTGGCCCTAGGTATCCTTAGACTGAACACCTGAGGTTTCTACATGAGCACCACAAAGGCTCACAGTGTGAGGCACTTGGTGACTCTGGAGATGTGAATGTGCACCCTGGCCATGCTGCCAAACACATATCTGACAAGGAAAAAATGCTAACCTGGTTTCTTTTGGGTAAGTGGCCATGAGAAGAAAGGCAATTGCTCTTATGAATTACTTCAATTATAGTGTAGAATCATGATCGAAAGTGTTCACTTTAGCTTTTGAGCTTTATGAGGGAATTATATGCTCTGGTGATGTTCATCAATATAGAGATTACAAAGATCTCCAAATGGGCCCCCTGATGGTGCAGGAATCGAGGAGCAGACTCATTGAAATCAGCCACTGGCCCCAACACATACAGCGCTGCTCCCTATCGGATCAGACACTCTTTAAAACATCTCTTTACTTATTCAGTAACTCAGGCTGTTATCCTATACCTAATAATAAGCATTCTTAAGAAATAAAATATTATAGAAGCCATTAAAGTGCCTGCATAACCCTTACTGATCCCAAAGATAAGCACTGTCTTAGTCCACTTACGCTGCTATAAAAAAAATACTTTAGACCAAGTAGTTGGTAAGCAATAGAAATTTATTGCTTATGGTCCCTAGAGTCTGGGAAGGACAAAATCAACGCATCAACAGATTTTATATCTGGTAAGAACTCACCCTCTGCTTCAAAAATGGCTTTTGCTTATTCCTCACATGGTGGAATTGGAAAGGAACTCTTCTGAACCTTTTTTTTTAAAAAAATAAGGCCACTAATCCCATTCATGGGAGTAGAACTCTTGTGACTTAATCACTTCCCAAAGGCCTCATCTCTTACTACTGTCACATTACACATTAGGTTCCAACTCCAAATTTGCGGGGAGGATACCATTTAGGCCACAGCAATCATTCTCCTGATTTTGGGATTTATCCTAATACGTTATAAAATGTATAAAATTTGTTATACACATATGTATATCCATAAACAACATGTAGCATTTGTGCATACTCTTAAACTTTATGTAAATGCCACCATATTATATATCCTTCTGTGACTTGCTTTTATTTTTGTTTAAATTGCTTTTGAGTTTACTCAAATATATATATAATATATTTATATTATATATATATATCCACTACATCCATTTTGCTGCTATATAGTATTCCACTGCAATAGTAAACTAAAATTTATTCATTCTCTGGTTGATGATCATTTGAACTATTTCCACCTTTCATCATTGCTAATAATGCTCCAATAATCATTACAGGGGTCTCTATGTGCACAAATTTCTTCAGAGTGTATATGTTTAAAAGTTGAATTATTTCAAAGGGTATGGATATCTTCAGGCAAAATGCTCTCTAAAGTGTTTGTATTCGTTGGCACTCCTGCCAGTTGTATATGAGAATCCCACTTACTCCACATTTGTCAGACTTCAATTTTTGCCAATCTGATGGATAGGGAATGGGAGGAATGAATTCTGAACAACAAGGACTCTTTCTTATTCCATTGTGTGAACCCACCTTAGCGTTTTCAGAGACCAGAGTCTTCATGAGTTGAGAATTTAAAAATCAGGTCCAGAACACCCAAAAGGAGCCAAATCCCCAAGAATCAGGGTGGTGCAACCCCTGACCTCCAGGTCTGGACAGAGGCTAGGGCCCATCTTGACACCTTGCCCACTGGGAAGTTCTATTGTGCAACTCCTACCTACAACCTTAAATGGCCGAATTGAGCAGGTAGGTGAGGTTTAAAGGGCCTCAGAGGCCAAACTCCTCCACCAAGACCCACGAACAATTTGTGCCACTGTTTGCTTGAGACAAGGGAGATCAACTTGGGCAAAGTTCATGTTTACAAATTCCTCCACATCATCTGCAAAAAAGGCAGGCCCACTCTTAGAAACAGCCACCCAACAGTCATGTGGGGCAAACAACTATTACAGAGCTGTGACTATTTCAGCCCAGGAAGAGGGAGAAATGAGGGACCCTGAAAGTCATTTCAGGTTCTTGCCCTAGGATGGTGCCATACAGTGCCAGATCACTTGCTCACAGCTGCCAGGCTGGGCACTGCTCCATCATATAGACCACAATGTAAATGATATCCCCAGGGGTGGTCCCATTTGGCAACCTGGACAAAAGTCCAAGAAAAATTTTTGACCAGAACATCTCAGAATCCATGTAGGAAAAATATAGGATCACTAACTATGTATTATGCTAAATGAACTGGAAGGTCCTCCCTCCTATAAAGTCTTCAGATACCAGGAGTAATGCAGGCTGTAGGACCTGCACTTTCAATCCATGCCTTCAAGCAACTATGGGGTATGATGATTGCAGTGTGGCCAGGGTGCCAGGACAACCCACTAGTGCCTCTGATAGGACAGTGAGTGAGTGGTGTCAGTGGCTAATGAACTTCTTGAATTTACCGGTGAGCTCTTCTCCTGATTACATTCTTTCCATTCAGTTACCAATCCAGGTCAGCATGGGTACCATGCATACAATTTGCTCATCATACAGTAATGGATTCTAGTGGGTTTTCTAACCACCCAAACTCTCAGGGAATGTTTACCAAAATCCCAACTGATCATTTCCTTGACCGAGTAATTCTACTTCTAGGAATTTGTCTTGCAGATGCACTCACATATAAGCAAAATAACAAGTGTACAATATTGGTCATTATAGCATTTTTTTTAGTAAAAAAAGATGGAAAACACCCCCAGTGTCTATCGCTAATTTTTCATTCATTCAACAAAAGTTCACTGAATGCGTGTTATGTGCCAGGCACTGTTCTGGTTCCTGGAATTCAGCAGGGAACAAAGCAGACAAACTTTCTAGCCCTTGTGGAGCTTATATGCTGGTGGGGGGAGATAGATAATCAAGATAAAGAATTGTTGATTGCTGTTGCTAGAAAGAAAAATAAAGCAGAGAAATCAGGGTTAAGGTATTTGGGCAAAAGAATTGAGTTTTAGATGGGGTAGCCCAGGAAAGCCTCACTGAGAAAGTGACATTTGAATGAAGATCTAGAGGAGGTGAGGGAGCAGGCCATGTGGAAACCTGGAGGTTGGACATTGCATTCCAAACAGGGCTGCAGTGAGTGCAAAAGGCTTGAGTTTGGAGTGCTGTGCATGTTTGAGTAGGCCAAGAGAGAGAAGCAGATGGGAAGGCAGTGAAGTTCCAGATCACGAGGGTCTGGTAGGCCAAGTAAGGACTTTGACACTTCCTCTTGGTGAAACGGAAGCCACTGGAAAGTTCTGGACATAGAAGCAGCATGATATGACCACTGTAAGCCTCTTAAGAACTGCCATAGAGAATCTGAGGGGGCAAAGGGAGAACAGAGAGACCTGCTGGAAGGGTCACCCAAGTGAGAGGTGACTGGTTTGAGCTTAGGCAGCAATGGGGGTGATGAGAGGTGGTTGGGTTGAAGATGCACTTAGGAAGCAGAGTCAACAGGATTCACTTTGGGATGGGGTGTGAGGTGTGGGTGGAGGAGAGGAATGTCCAGGTTGATTCCAGAGTCTTTTTCTCTGAGCAGCAGGAGGATGGAGTTGACATGTACAGAAACGAGGAGGATGGTGGCAGGAGCAGATTTGTTACCAGACATTCAGACTATTATTTTGGATGTGGCAGGTTAAAAATAAAGTCAAATCGATATCCAAGATGAATATGCAGTTGAATATATGAATCTGGAGGTTGTGGTTGGAGGTTCAAATCCAGGAGTCTGGGGTAATAGAATTGAAAGCCTTACATTGGTTTATAATCACATGGAGAGTGTCAGAGAACAACACTGCACTGAGCACTTGGAGCCCCGGTGTTTAGA